ACATGCATATTTGTCGAATCAAATGTCTTTTAGTGTGTGAAATGCAGAGGACAAATTTCATTTGTGTACACTTATTAGAATTACTGTAGATACATTATATTTCATGGAAAACTAATTTTCGTGGATTTCGTGGATAAAAGTGAACCACGAATTCAGTGAATTAAAATGTTCAACGAAGTGCAAATTTCTATTAGCTTGGTTACAGACTTAAGCAAAACCGCAAATAAAAAATGCAATTTTACCTCAATCCACTAAAATTGGTACCCCAAAAAAAAAATCAATCCATATCACTAGTATTCATCGAAAACATGCATTAAGGTTGATACCTAAAACATTGTGTGTTTAATAGAAAACCCGGGAAGCATGTATGCAAAAAATCATCTGTTGCACCGCTGAAAAAATTCCGTAAGATTTCTATTGATGGATGATGCTGTCGTGGAAAATCCGATAGATGTAAATGTCTCTCTAATTTTTTGTTTTGTATTGAAAATACAAAGAGTTGTGAAAGCTATAACAAATGAATCAAGGACGGAAACACATACTTGAGTTGACTGACGCATAGCATTAAATTCAACAATTTATTATATCATGATTGTCAGAATATTATATTTTTATTTTTGTAAGGACTCTCTGTAAGCAGTAAATCAACATTGATCAACCTAACGACAGAAGTTTTCAATGACTATGATCCATCAATTAGACCTTACTGCCAAGGACATAAACAAGTAAATGTAACAATGGACTTGGCTGTACGACAGTTAATTGATATGGTACGGTCTGAAAAAAAAAGATTTATTATGCTTGATAATACATGCATCGTACAAATAGACAAATTTAATCTATATTGATAGATTTGAATACTTACAACCATGTTAATTGACTATAAATCATTCGGTAACCCGTGTGATAAAAAAAAAAAGTATTTCATTAAACAAATATTTTGTTAACATTCTACTGGAAGGATTACGAAATATGATTCACGAAAAGAATAACGAAATATGGTATATTAAGTTAACTACATTTGAAACGTTACCGTAACAAGAGGTGGAAGATAATAAGAAGGCAACAAATACCATAAGTTGAAGATAAACGGACATCGGCATCCATTTGCCAAACTGAAAAATCATTTTAAAAAAAGATTATGAACGGTCCAAATAAACTACACAGAAAATAAAGATTGAGGAACAAAGCAGGGGAAAGACTCAGGTGCTTAGGAATGGTAATCAGTTACTGCTCAATTAGTGACACCCGTTATGTTGATGGTTGGAAGTGAAAATTCGCTGATAAGTCGCATGATTCAGTGCAACATAAAACATAATTTTGATTTGTAAGCGTATACATTAATCAGCTGTAACTTTTAGTAAGTCACTTGAAATTGTTTTTTATTCACAGAATGAACCTGACCAAATAATAAAGCTTAATCTTTGGATTCGACTTGTAAGTTTAACATAGCATTATGGGCTCCAGTTGGATACCACTATTGTCACATTGTCACGTTTACAACATGTCTCGGATCACCAAGTCACTTTTTAGCAAATAAAAAAAAAACGGGAATCCACTTTACAAATTTGCAAAACATTCATACAGATCTTGTGTCCCTTTTAAATATGATGTTAGGTCGCAAGGTCGCCCGCCAAGGTTGCAGGTCGGATTTGACTATGTTGGAGCAACAATTGTAATATAAAATCACTTTTATAACCACAACTACCATATTTTACAATTTTGAAGCCGAATTTGAAATACAAATATGCATCTAAAATGTATCTTTTGCTTATTAGACAGTAGCTGAAATTGCAAATCAAACACCAATTCCGTTATGGTTTACCAAATTATATTTTTGTCTTATAAATTACACTAGCAGAGCAAAGCATTAAGACAATAAAAAATAAATGCACAGAATAAATGTTCATGATACTTATCGTAGCGAATATAATTAACACAACATTCTTTAAGTTGTAAATAAAGATTTTGTTTATTTAAGCGTTGGATTGATTGTTTGCTGACATGGAATCCCAGCAAGTACGATAATATAACAGATTTAATTGTGCCATTTGACAAGGTTTGGACACCTGACATAACTATTTATGATAGGTAATAATTTTACTTCAATACATTTGTGTCGTATTATAATAAAGTATGTATGTTGATGTCATTTTTTGAGCTAGTTGAAATGGCGCAGACAGCTTTGCATATGGTGAATGTTGTTCGGGCGCGAACGTTTCTGTTCCGGAGGGAAATGTTCCGAGGCATAAAAAACATCTTTACCAAACTTCGTTTGATAATTATGATGGAAAAGGGGAGGGAAGCATCATTGACTTTGAGGTCACCAAGTCAAAGGGTAAATGCCACAGCAAGTATTCATATATTGAAGCAAAATATTGCTTTGAAGGTGATTTCATATAAACCATAAACATTTCCTTTTTTGACCAAATGTTTTTTGATTATGTCTTATAGGATGAAACAATTTGAGGAAACATCAGCAATTAACAGATATGATGCTTTTGCTATTTCATTGATACAAAATTGCACGGATGTTGTATACGTCGGATAAATATGGTTTCGGTTTGTAAATTAGGGAACAATTCAAACGAAAAAACCAACGGCCTAATTGATAGCAAAACTGTTTACGAAAACCTTATATGACAGACATGAACCAACTACAACCACTGTACGTAAAGCTCCTAACTTGGGACAGGCACAAACGGAATATGGCAGGTTAAACATATTTGTGAGCGCTCAACCTTTCCCCTAACCTGCTACATTGTTGTAACAACTCAACAAAGGAACAAACTGTAAAAATCAGTTGAAATTGGCCAAACTCAAAATATCAGTACGATATGTTTATTCTAAAGATATGCTTTCCTAAAAGTAGTACTGTTTTTAACATCTTAAATTACCTGTATGATCAACAACAACATGGAATGAACTCGCTACAGGTAGTTAATTATGGATTTTGATTAAAAAAAAGACATCATGTAACAGCCTCGTAGTTACCTAAATGTTTTTTCCCCTTGATATGAGCAGTGAAATTGATTATCAAAGTAAAACAATAGTTGCAAGATTTCTTTGCAAGTTATAGTTAGTTACTGTAATTTGTTCAAAAATAATTTGCACATGTGTTTTTTAATGTGTTGGTGTAGAATAATAGAATCTTAACAGAGAATAGAACTCAGGTCTACTAGGAGCCGTATTGAACGTAATGTAAAAGAGTTTGCTGAGTATTGAAGGACTGACTATGACAAATATTGCTTTTACTTTCAGTGTTGTCAAGTGCATTTTGAGATTTTGTTACATTAATTTAAACACCATATCCCTATTTTCCATAATGGTATTAACTAACAAGCTGATGTTTAATTTTGTTTTTAAAGATATCAAATTAAATATCCTACTTCCCTCTTCCTCCCATCGAATTATACGTCATCTTTGAAAAAGTAAAACGTGAGTATATTTAAATCGTCAAACTTTGATAAAATATTAATTATCGATCAAACATCTATACCCGCTTTAAAATTTCAATTCCATTATTATCAACTACGTCAAAAGAGGCTTAAGATTAAAGATACCAAAGGAAAATTCAAACTCATAAGTCGAAAATAAACTGACAACACCATGGCAAAAAAGGAAAAGGACCAAAAGAAAAACAACTGTTTACAAAACACAACATAGAAAAGCAAAGACTGTCCAACAAGAACCCAACCAAAAACCGGGGTTAATCTCAGATGCTCCGGAAGTGTAAGCAGATCCCGTTTACGTAACAGATCAATTCGTTTTTGGGTCCTAAATCTGGTCGATATAATCAACATATTTGTCCACTCGCTCCTTCTAATGATCAAGCAAATTCAACAACTACTAGGAATTCCGTCGTCCTTAATCAACTCCCCCGGACGACTTCCCATCAGGTACGGCTGGTTAGCATTTATAGGATACTAAATATTTATTAGACTCTACTCTACATTTAAGTATCTCCGTCTACTTCCGTAGTACACAAACAAGTTTTATCTAATACAGAAGTTATTATAAAAGTTAACAGAAAAAACCCTGTAAAATAGATATAAGAAGATGTGGTATGAGTGCCAATGAGACAACTCTCCATCCAAGTCAAAATTTATAAAAGTAAACTATTATAGGTCAAATAACGGTCTTCAACACGGAGCCTTAGCTCACATCGAAAAGCAAGCTATAAAGGGCCCCAAAAATTACTAGTGTAAAACCATTCAAACGGGAAAACCAATGGTCTAATCTATATAAAAAACGAGAAACGAGAAACACTTATGAACCACATCAACAAACGACAACTACTGAACATCAGATTACTGACTTATGACAGGTGAAAACAATTGCAGCGGTTTTAAACGTTTTAATGGTACCAAACCTTCACCCTTATCTGAAACAATAGTGTAACATCACAACATAGAAAGACACACTATAAAATATCAATTGAAATGGATTAACTCAATCAAAAGACATATTAACACAAGTGAACATACACTGAACAAATAAATTTGATCTATGATACAATGTAAATGTATGACGACTAAATAACAAGTCTGCGGAACACCCTATATAACAATAATGTATCTAAATATTTTAGAAAATCTTCTTGTATCTTTTAGTACATTTAAGCATTTACTTTTACCTCAAGCATGCATAGAAAGATATTTTTTCTAATTCAAAATTCATCAAAGGAAATATTAAACTGTTAAGTACATGTTGGAAAATTAAATTACAAGCATGTGAAACACCCAGTCTAACAACAATAAATCTAAATATTTTCATGACACGCACATGGGCGATTTAAACGATAATTTTGTTACCTGAACAGTATTGAAGTATTTGCAAAAAAAATTTCATATTTTGAAGATGATGTAATACGTTCGACAAATATAATTCTATCTTTTATAATGACCTCTTCAGTCATTCATTTTCTTTCAGCTATTTTAAGTACTAAAATTTGAAACGTTTATCATTCGGATAATATGTCCATTATAAGTATTACGCACTTGGATTGGTTAATGAATAACATGAACAAAATTTAATAAAACACTAGACATTTAAGAATAAAAGATAATACAATCATTATAGACATAGCAGCTTTAAATATTTGAAGAAAACAAAGTTATTATAAAAAAATAACTACATTCATACAATTGTTTACACGAAGGGTATAGCAGATACACGTTTTTTTTTCTGCCGAAATCTTTGTTACTACCATTGACATGATAATCTCATAGGGTTCCTGTAATGAAACAACCAACTGAATGCATCGGCATCTACATCAATTAATGATATAGTTTTCGGTATATTTGCCTAAATCATATAGCTGTACTCAAACTTTGGTAACAATGATCAATCGCAAATTTGACCCTTGCAAGTTTGTGTGAGTTTTATCTAGAGGGTCAAGTCTGCAAGATTTAAACGTGAGATGTACTTGGCTTCTGTTTATTTTCGATTGTAAATAAAAAAAGGTTTACTTGATAAAGAGTTAACGAAAATCAAACAATATACTCACTGAAATGAAAATCATGCATTTATATAATTAACTGTTCTTGTCATTTAGTGTGTCAGAGGAATTTTACGGATTAGAAAAATTCAGAGCAAATGTGAGTTACGATGGTGCTATCAATTACAACTTTCCTACAGTTATAGAGGTACAATGCCAAGTTGATGTCACAAACTTTCCGTTCGATAGGCAAATGTGTCCATTGCAATTCGGATCTTGGATCTACACTGGAAACTTGTTGGATCTAAACAGTGAAAACTCTCATGCCGATTTATCCGCACTGAAAGAAAATGTGGAATGGGAAATATCTAAAGTACCTGCAGAAAAACACATAAAAAAATACTCATGTTGCCCAGACCCCTTTGTTCATGTGACATACAACCTATATCTGAAAAGGAAGCCAAGATATTATGAAGCTAACATTATATTGCCATCAATAATCATTACACTTTTAGCAACACTTGGTTTTTTACTACCGGTGGATTCTGGTGAAAAAGTATCCCTAGAAGTAACAGTAATGCTTTCATTGACAGTTTTCCAGCTATTGGTTGCTGACAGACTACCGCCATCAGATGAAGATCGACCATTATTAGGTTTGTTAATTTCTTAAGTATAATTTTCAATTTTAAGTCTGCGATTAAAGTCAAATTTGCCTCAACGATTTAAGGGCAGCGAATGATATGATACTGCCATTCAATCATGTGAGCAAGAGAGTGTTTTTTGGCTATCTACTCCGGTTTAGCTTGGTGAGCTAGAAAGTTTAATATTTGATGGCAATTTTAATAATTCAATTAACGCCTACTCAAACCTGAATTAGAATTGTGTTCACATAAATGTTGTACAATTATTATCTACGTCGTAATTTACAAGACAATTCATCGATAACAAAAGAACCGCTTTGCATTAATAAGTCTCATTAGTGTTGCTTGAAACAAAACAGTTAAAAGCTTAAATTAATTACAAAGTTAAATAGGATTTGAAACAAAAAAATTCATAAAGCTGGCTAAGGCTACAATTGCATGGTGATCATATACTCGTGTTTCTTTTATATTTAATGTTCACCAAAGGAAAAGATTTATATACTTTGAAAATCATAGAAGGCATAGTTGCAATATAGTTATGTTAAGTTTTGAAGATTTTTGTATCCTTCTTGTTTTATGATGCAAGATCAACAAATCAAATTATTAAATACAAGTTTGCTAAAGTGTTTTGGCTCACTTACTGGATATAACCAGTGGCACATAAGCCTGGTATATTGGATTATCTATATGTACATAAGATCAGAGGATATAAATCATGTTTGAGTGAAGGTCGCATTAATCAAAACGAAGTTTTAAAAGTATTACATTACTGATCACCCACATCTGTGTGTGTCTGTTGGTAGCTTTTATAGCAATCTTTGTGGTTTTGATGAAATAGTCTTACAAATTTTGAAAATGCAATTATCAATCTTACAAACTGACGAGAGTTAATATATACATTTTTTTCAGGAGAGTTTTTCACATTTACTCTTATACTGTGTGGTCTTTCGACCTTTGTCCAGGTGGCTGTTATCAACATTTATCACCGTGGTGACAGAAAAATGTCAGTCTGGATGAACAAACTGTTTTTAATACTTAGAAAAGCAACCCTGCTGAATCAAACGGTTAGAAACTTTTCATTTTAATTGTTGACGCAAGGAAAACTAAACAGTTAAAAACTGATCACGTGGTAAATGAGAATAAATTGTTGCAGAGTATTTAACAATCTGACAATTTTTAAATTTGAACAACGCGAACTCTTTGTAAAATTTTATTAGCTATCTATTCCCACGTTTGTAACTGTGAATTATGTATCAAATACACTGTCATTAATAGGGCGTATGTATTTTATATATAATATAATTACTTATTTCATCAAGTGGTTATAAACGGCGTTATTAACCTATAATGCAAAGTCTATTGGAAAACATCTAGGTCTAAATAAAGGGATCACTGGTATACCGCTGTTCAAAAGTCAAAAATCGATTGAGAGAAAACAAATCCGGGTTACAAACTAAAACCGAGGGAAACACATCAACTATAAAAGAAAACAACGGATCAACAGAAACACTGAAGTGCAACAAAAACAAACGCCAACATACATAGAAACGGACTATTTGATAACAACTGCCGCATTCCTGACTTGGTACAGGACATTTTAAGAAAAAAATTGGTGGGTTGAAACTGGTTTTATGGCTAGCCACACCTCCCGCTTATATGGCAATGTTAAAAAATATATCGCTAAAATGACAACACTACGTGACAGGAATACAGCACAAACAAACGCAACAACACTCAGCACAGTAGAAATCGTCATAAAATTTACATAATTTCCAAATCGGGAGTTTTATTTATCGTGATAGGTTTCGAGCGTTTTTGGAAGTTATTTTCGGAATTTTATTTATTGATATTTAAACAATTGACCTCGAGCGCATGTGTAATGTAACATACTCAAAATACAAGAGGTGAGAGAAAGGACTCAGGTTCACTGTAATAAGCAATTTGCAATTAGATATGTATTAAAAGTCAAACAATTTCTTCATTCGACCAAGTCATTCATCTGTTACTTGTAAAATAAATTAATTGATACTTATCAGTTGAGATAACGAACTAATTAATAATAAAGTATCCAATATTGTATATTGAATGACAATGTGTTTGTATTTTTAAGGCACATGACCACAACAACACACAAGCTGACAACTCCCCTGTAGATCATGTTCAAAATAACACTAAAGAGTGGCAAACCCTATCAATCTGTATCGACAGAGTTGGCTTGATATTGTTCATAGTCATACTTACCATTGGATGCATTGTTATTTTTGCTAATTTTACTTAAACTTAAGATAAAATTGCTTTTTTGTTTAGGATTTCTTATTTTCAAAATAATTTCTATATCTAAAACATATTCGTATCTTTTTTCATTTCTTATTGCTGTTTTTAGACGTTCTTAAAATATGCCTTTATGATATACTTGAAAATTTAATATTAACCCATATCTATTTTATTGTAGAAATGATTCTTAAATGTATTTCACGCATTTTCATTGTGTTATTGTGCTTTGCTCTTTTTTTTTATTCTTGTCTTTCATATTTGCTTATGTGCTTTGTCTATAAAGTGTATTTATGCCATTTTGTTTTTCTTTATTGACATAGTTGTTTGTTTTTATAGTGATTTAGATTATAACACAATGTTGAATGCTGTACCCCAATTTTTGACATTTTTACCTATTATGTTGTTTGTTTTGCTCACACATTGTTGTCAATATATTGGAATTTTATGCGACTGTAATACAAGTGAGAGGTTTAGCTAGCTATAAAACCAAGTTTAATCTATCATTTTCTACATAAGGAAATGCATTTACCAAGTCAGTAATATGACAGTTGTTTTCCATTCGTTTGATGTGTTTGAGGACTTTCCGTTTTGAATTTTCCTTGGCATTTTAGTTTTGAACACAAAATATAGAAATTAGAAGATGTGGTATGATTGCCAATTTAGACACCTCTCCACAAGAGACAAAATTACACAGAAATTAACAACTATAGGTACGGCCTTCAACAATGCACAAAACCCATACCACATAGTCAGTTAGTATATCTTGCCTTGCTGATCATTTTTGAATTTAAAGTGTCTATTTATCTATTATAATTTTTATCATAAAAGGCAAAATAACCACAATAAGGAGTCGTCGGACGATTTCCTCCACTTGTCTTAATTGTAGATCTTGTATTGCTGATCATTTTTTCTTATTTAAGTTTATATTTATCTATTATAATTTCTAAGATAGAAGGCAAAAACGAAAGAAAATGCTAAAAATCGTCATCAAAGGGCAATAACTCTAATAAGGAGTCGACTGACGATTTCGACCATTTATTTCTTTTGTAGAACTTGTCCTGCTGATCATTTGTGCTATTTAAAGTTTTTCTCTATCTATTATAGTTTTCAAGATAATAGGAAAAAATGAAAAGAAAAATGGTAAAATTTGTCATTTAAGGGCAATAACTCCTATAAAAAGTTGTTTGACAGTTTTGACGTATATAAAGAATTGGAAGAGCTCAACATTTTGAACATTCTGATCCAGTCAGATTTTCTCTCTTTATAACGGTTTTCAAAATAATAGAAAAATAACCCAGTAATGGACAAGTCAGTCGGTGTTCAAAAAATTAACATAGACAAATGTCGTTTAATTGCGTTAAAACTAATAACAATGTAATAAAGTTAAATTTTAACAATATTTAGTACGTGTTGCTCAGTCTTTAGTTTTCTTTTTTGTGTTTTGTGTATTGTTTGTCCTTTTCGTCGTTTTTCGTTTTTTGCCATGACAATGTCAGTTTGTTTTCGACGTATGAGTTTGGATATTCTTTTGGTATCTTTTGCCTCTCTTTTGCCTCTCTTTTAAATATGAAAGCCTTCAAACATGCATATTTGTCGAATCAAATGTTTTTTTAGTGTATGAAATGCAGAGGTTAAATTTCATTTGTTCACACTTATAAGAAATACTGTGGATACATTAAATTTCATGGAAAACTTATGTTCGTGGATTTCGTGGATAAAGGTGTACCACGAATTCAGTGAATTAAAATGTTCAACGAAATGCAAATATACTATGAGCTTGGTCACAAACTTAAGCAAAACCGCGAAATGAAAAATACAATTTTACCTTAATCCACTTAAATTGGTACCCACAAAAATGAATCAATCCATATAACAAGTATTCAGAAAAAACATGCATTAAGGTTGATACCTAAAACAGTGTGTGTCTAACAGAAAACCCGGGAAGCATGTATGCCGATAATAAAAAAAAAATCATCTGTTGCACCGATAGATGTAAATGTCTCTCTAATATTTTGTTTTGGAATGCAAATACAAAGAGTTGTGAAAGCTATAAAAAATGAATCAAGGACGGAAACACATACTTGAGTTGACTGACGCATAGCATTAAATTCAACAGACTGAGTCTCTTTTATGATTGAATGTATTATATCATGATTGTCAGAATGTTAAATTTTCATGTTTATAAGAACTCTCTGTAAGCAGTAAATCAACACTGATCAACCTAACGACAGCAGTTTCCAATGACTATGATCCATCAATTAGACCTTACTGTCAAGGACATGAGTAGTGTAAAAATGAGAGTTCTACACCACTCCCCAATTTTAAGCACAAATTCTGCATAGGGACCCCAACCTCAAACATAAAATGTAAATTCATTGTGATTCAACTAGTCTAAGGGTAGAAACAAGAATATGGCTTTTTGTAAACAATTGTAGAGACACCTTAAAAGGGATGTAATCCTAGGGGTAGAAACAAGAATGGCTTTTGTATCAAACATAGATGAAGATTTTATTAACGATAATGTCTTTGAGGAAAAGGCAAAGGACCAGAACCAGGAAACCCTGAATGGAAGGAACTTCCATCCGGAGTGATTCACAAAATTTTGGAAGTGGCAGTAGTAGAAGGTAAGTTTGGGAGGAGTAAGGTTCTCACCTTGAAAAACAGAGAGGGAGAAACTGTTAGGGTGTGGGCTTGCAGCAGACTCAACAGAGAAAATGAACCGTTGGAAGGAGCCTATGTGAGAAGTACAGGCTTTAAGATGAGTGATAAAACCAAGCGGGAGTACTTTTATGTGATCTGGGGAGAAAGTAAAAATGTAAAAATATTTAAAAAAAAAAAACCGGGACTAGGGGGATGGGGTGACGAAAATATCTCAATCTAGCAAAGAGCTGGGTTGGGAATTTTTTTGTTCCTTAACGCCTCGTTTGCTTTTCTTTTTGCTTTAACCTTTTAAAGTTAGAGACGTTCTTCTAGCGGTAATGCAAGTTAACGACCTTTTTGTCGTATTATGATAAACTATGTATGTTGATTTCATTTTTTGAGTGGCGCAGACAGCTTTGAATATGGTGAAAGTTGTTTGGGCGCGAACGTTTCTGTTTCGGAGGGAAATGTTCCGAGGCATAAAAACATCTTTACCAAACTTCGTTTGATAATTATGATGGAAAGGGAGGGAGAAGCATCATTGATTTTTAGGGCACCAAGTCAAAGGGTAAATACCACAGCAGCTATTCATATACTGAAGCAAAATATTGATTTGGAGGTGATATCTTATAAACCATAAACATGTATTCCTTTTTTGACCAACTGTGTTTTGATTATGTCTTATAGGATGAAACAATTTGAGGTAACATCAGCAATCAATAAATATGATGTTTTTGTAATTTTATTGATATAAAATTGCACGGATGTGGTATAGTCGGCTAAATATGGTTCCGGTTCGAAAAATGGGGAACAATTCAAACGAGAAAACTAACGACCTAATTTAAAGCAAAACAATTTACGAAAAACTAATATGACAGACATGAACCAACTACAACCACTGTTCTAAAGGCTCCTGAATTTGGAGAGGCACATAGAATGAATTTCATAACAGCGTGGACATGGACACATAGTAATTAAATGTTATCGTGTGTATCACTGACTGTCGACAACAAAGACTTCACGCAATTACAGGGCCTCTCAATGGCGATATATACATAATTACTATCTTTACACATTTCCATTCATAAAATAAAATTTTTTGAATGAAAGTGTATAGGAATTTGTTTTGAATATTTTTATATACTCACAACAAAAGTTTCTTTTGACAGAAGGACCATATTCAGAGGTGATATCACCAAGTAATAGAGAAAATAAAAAGCTATGTTTTTTCTTGCACAAACGTTCTGTGGCTCCTTAAAAAAATAAGAAATCATTTATTCGTACGAGCTGATGTCGAGTAACCTACGATCAACTTTCATACTAAGATTATTTTTGTTTGTAACAAGCACCCCGGACCTTCCAAAAAATCATTTTAGTCCTCTGGGCTGCTTAAATTTTTGCACGGAACAAATTTGAATTCCCATCGAAAACTCCAACGATCAGATTTTCGTGAACATTTAAATATCATTCTAGCAAAAAATAACTCGTGAAAATATCAAAAAGCATATGAATCCGGTCTTGTGTGCAAAAATTACGTTGATTGTAGTTTTGTGAAATCATTGATATTTTTTTAGATTTTGTTATACCTGAACATGTATAACAAAAGTTAAGGGATTTATATTCTTTTACTACAAATTAAGCAGGTAATTTCAATATATTTGGTCTTACTCAAATATTGTTTTTTGTTATTTGAGGACACATATTTGAGACAATTCTGCATAAACGTTTATTTGCAATTTTTTTCATGCTGGTTTCAAAAGCCTCTTGCATAGCCAACCCTCCCTTATTTTAACTGAAGCAGGAATGGTCGCCCCATTACAATTTGAATTTGTACTCACTTCTTTTTCGGTTTCAATCTATATCCATGAATTTAATGATATGTTCACAAAACATCTGTTTTGGAATAATAAATCATGTGCACAAGACTAAACTGGTCAACTGTAACACGAGATAATGTACAGGTTATTATATCAACATAACAGTAACAGTGTAATAATAACCTTTAAACTTGGTGCACTCGTTTAATTATTCTAGTATACAAGGTGTTATGTAAATATTTAATTCATGGATAGATACTGAAACACAAATTAAAAAAAATAATTACAATTCTAAATTAAATCGCTGTGATCCGTTCAATCTTTTTTCAAATCAACAGAACAGCTACATTTAACAGGTCGGGGACATTTCCTTATACGGAGATGTCTTATTTAGCATACTTATGTCCCGTCAATGCATGTATTAGTGTTTGTTTACAAATAAAGCTTTTTTTTAATTTTTGCGATTGACCAATCCACTGAACGATTTGCAGTGCGTGATGGGCTACTTGTCTATAACTGACACACTACTTAATTTTTCACTCGAATGGACATGTGTAAAATAGTAATTATGTATATCCACATTGAGAGGCCCCAGACATACTGTAATTTAGTCTTTGTTGTCGACAGGAAGTGACCGACACGATATCATTTAAATATCAGGTGTCCATGTCCACACTGTTATGAAATTCAATCTAAGGAATATGGCGGGGTTAAACATGTTTGTGAGCGCTCAACCTTCCCCTAACCTGGTTAATTGTTGTAATAACTCAACATAAGAACAAACTGTAAAAATCAGTTGTAATTTGTCAAACTCAAAATATCGGTATGATATGTTTATT